TGAATCAAAATTATAGAATAGTAAGAAGAGGGATAAAAGAAAAATAGATTTTTATCTACATCTCTACTTGTTTACCTCATGATATAGCAGTTGCCATTGGTGAGACTAAGTATTGTTTTATCTGAGTTAAAATGTGTTACTGATGTAGTATCATAGCTTTTTTTCAGACTTTTAAAACCAAGCAAACTTGCCCCCTCTCAGACTGCAGTACTCTGATTCACCCAGAGTCCCCCATTGGGGGGAGATGGGCGGGGGAGAAATTTAATAAATAAATAAATAAAATAAATTTGGGATTGCATAGAACTTCAGCAGTAATCCAGAGCTGCTGAAGGTCAGTGTTCAAATCAGCCACATTTGACCTTTTGAATCCATGGTTTGTGCTGATGTCTATCTCTTAGGGTTTTAAATCATCAGATTTAGTTCTTCCTTGGTTCCTTGCAGTGGGAACTGGAGACAATTTCTACAGCATGACTGATAATTGTTTTTGGTTCCTAGGGCAGCAGCTCAGGGGCCACACTTATGCACACGTGTGCATATGTATGGATATATCTGTTGCTCCCTTCTCCATGTAGTCCTCCTCATCCAACACATTCTTTAGATATTGATCCCATGGGTCCTCACTAGGTTCTCCCTCCCAGCAACCCTGCTCAAGATTGCTGGTTCTCTGGGAATAAGAAAGAAATTATAAGTCTTCTTTCCAGAGATACTTGATCCTCATTAAGGTTCAAGGAGAGAAGCTAGTCTCCTTCCATCCTGGTCAGGGGAGAACTCCCAGGTTTAGGTTCCAGCTCCTCAGGATTCTTCTTCTTCAGACCCTTCCATCTTTCATCTCTGGGGGAAAAAGGTTTTTTAATTTGTTGTCAAAATTAATTAATTTTAAAGAATTTCAAAGCTTTAAATGTTTATAATTTTTTTATAAAAGCAAACCTGAGAATTTAGCCTTTTTGGAACGTGGAGTACAGTCTTGTCCACTGCAGTTCTGGGAATGCCCATCAAATACCCAGTATAGTTCTCCCTGTTTTCAGTGATTCTTATAAGAGTTGCTTGGTAGAAGGGGGCAACAGCAAGGCTGCAATTTTCATCAGGGCTCTTGGAGGGATGAAAAATTTCTGTGGGGTATACATAACACAGAGATCACAAATCCCCTGTCATTCTGAAACCTGGTGTGTTATAAGCACAATAGCTCTTTGGCTATCTATGCTGTTAATACAGTTTGTTCCACTGGGGGGGGGGGCAGTGAGGTGACTTGCAAACTTTGGCCTAATTTCTTGCAGTGCTTCTTGGTCTGTTATCAAAAGCCCTTCGCAAGAGAAGAATTCAGATAATTATCTGTTAAAGAGTTGTCTGCACATTCCCCACAGCCTACCACTTAGGATAAAGAAAAGAGGGTGCTAGAAAGCAACAAAAGGGCATGTCACGAAAAATCAGAGTGGTTCCTCCCACTTGTTTGCTTTAGACCCACTTTTGGACCTCATTTCAGGCCTATTCATCATATGGCCCCCAGTAGACTATCCCTGGTTCTTCAGAAGAAAAGTGACTAGAAGCCAAACAGAGGGTTTGTCCCAAAGATCGGGTTGTCCCAAAGAACAAACCATTTGTTCCCAGGAGGTCTCCTAAACTCTTTTTCACATTGGCCAAAACCATACTTGGGGCATGTTAGTTGTTCTAGATTTTGGCTGGTACAAAATCTAGAGGGATCTGAAAGTGATTTTATGGGGCGAATAAAGCGGTGCTCTTGCTTATTGGCTTTTTACTCCCTTTCTCTTCCGAAGGGCCTACAGGGCAGGTTCCCTGCTGCTCTGTCTTCCCAGCCCCTTCGCTTTCCACTCTCCTTAGCTATTACCACATGCTTGATTTTGACAGGGACAAACCAAAACCAGCTTATTCACGCACAGAATTTCTTCATATCCCTAATAGCAATCTTAAGGTGACAGATTATGGTGGGCCCTCTTCCTCTTCTATAAAGGGAGTGGAATCAGCCTACTTCTCACTGACAGGGGCTTAGACACCACATTCAGGAGAGTGCAGGCAAATGCTCTGTTAACAAGTCCCAGATAGCTTATTAACAGAGCATTTGCCTATACTCTCCCGCATGGGTAAAGGGTATGAGAGTTACCAATTCACACATTACGTATATTAGTATTTACTTTTAAATACCTAATGTTGGCAGAAACGTTAGTTACCCTATAGTATGTAGTAATGACAGGGTGAGCAAAATTGTAAAAAGCATGGCTTCCCCCAAGTTTGTTATTAGGGCTTACTCTCAACACAGTGTAAGAGTGAATCAACAATTCTTGCCTCTCCTCTCCACTTTGTAACAATTGTCTGGAAATCACACTTTTGGATTCCTCATTGGTAATTACCAAGACCACTGGCTGTAAAATAAGCAATAATGCATGTTCGGTGCTCTACAGCACTACAAATTAAAGAGAAATTACTTTGAATGAGTCTGCCTATATTAGTAAATCCAACCTAGGGCCAACACTCAATAAATCTTTGTAGTATCTGACTGCTTTTCTGTTGAGACTTGGCAGTTGCTTAATAAAATGAGTTGATAAATGCTCTCTAAGGCTTTTGCTTGCTTTCTCTGTTTCCCAATTGTTTGGTACCGAGAGTCCTCAAAATAAGTACTTTACAGATTTAGGCAAGGTGTAGACAAGACATAGCATTCTCACAGAGCTGTAAGATGGCATTCACCTGTCCAGCCACCATCTAGTTGCGGGTGGATAAGCATTGTATGTCTGGCCAGGATGTCAGCTAGTCGGTTACAATTGCCACTGAATTTCACTTAAACCTGCATTCCTATTTAGCTGAATTTCTGTACGACCAGCCACATTTCTGTCGTTGTTGTTGCGCAAAATTAGCAATGATATTTTCTTTTCTATTTTTACTTTTTGTTAAAATAGGGTGTTAATGAAGGGTGCGGGGAAGTTTCAGCAACACTAATAAAACTTGACAAAAGGTGGGGAGAAGTTCTAGATAGGTTTGCTTTCCTTTCAGATGGTAAAGTCCAATTGAGAAAAAGCCACCTGAATTCAGGTCCCTAATGAAGTGCGTTTGAGAAGATGCTGCTAGTTCTGAAAGGTGACTTATTGAATTACAGTAATTGCAGGGACTGTTTTCTGAATGAAGGGTTTTTGTAATTTAAATGCAGTGGTAAATCCCTCCAGGAAGAATAGCAGTTCTAGGAGATCTGAATTCAATCCCTATACAGTAAAGGCATCAGCTCACTTAGTGGCTGCTTTCCTGAAATCATGTGATTAACCTTCTCTTTTATTTCATTGTGCTTTTCCAAATCAAAATGCTAGTTGCTGAAAGGTACAGCTTTCTTTTGTTTTTGTTAAGCTTGAGGAACATTGTTTTTGTCCTTCTCATTTTTACTTCCCTTTTACCTTTGGGAAAGGTTCATTGTAACAGAGATATTGGAGAGAGAGAAAATATCTACCAATAAGCCGTGTGGTGGTGTGGATGGAAAATTGGTGTATTGTATTGTATTGTATTGTATTGTATTGTATTGTATTGTATTGTATTGTATTGTATTGTATAGTATAGTATAGTATAGTATAGTATAGTATAGTATAGTATAGTATAGTATAG